AGGGGACGCTGGGGTTTCCCTGGGGAGGTGGCGGGAGGGCACTGGGCCGTCCCTTCCCTTCACCCCGAGCTCACCCCGGCTGCTTCTTCAGGTCCGTGCCGACGGCTGACAGCAGGTCCCGACCGCACCGAGGGGCCCTCCCGGCGCCGCCATGGGCAAGAAAAGCAAATTGGGCAAGAGCCGGAGGGACAAGTTCTACCACCTGGCCAAGGAGACAGGTGAGGGGCCTGCCCGCTCGCTGTGGGGCAGGGGGGCTGTGGCCCCGGTAGCCCATAACACTGGTATGTGTTACCATACATGCCTCTCCGTCCCACAGGCTTCCGCTCCCGCTCCTCCTTCAAGCTTCTCCAGCTCAATAGGAAGTTCCAGTTCCTGCAGAAGGCCCGGGCACTGCTGGACCTGTGTGCAGCTCCTGGCGGATGGTGAGTGCTGTCAGGGCCCCCAAGTCACAGCCCAGTGCCCCAGGGACCTCCTTGTGAAATGGCTTTTGTGCTTTCTGTTGTGGTGGCTCACCTCAGTCTCTGTCCTTGATGCCAAAGTTGATCCCAAACACGCAGGAAGCACAGTTCAAGGCTGAGGGCTCTCCTGGGATCCTGCTGTAGCTTTGACTCTTTCTGTTGTTTCCAGGCTGCAGGTGGCTTCCAAATTCATGCCGGTTTCCAGCTTGATCATTGGTGAGTGATTAGTGAGGGGTGGGCTGGGGGCAGGGATCTCTACCACAGTCCCTAGATGAGGCCAAAGGATGGGAATCCTGGATTTGGGGATCCTGGTGGGAGGAGAGGGCAGATGGGGAAGCCACGTGGGATGGGCTGGAGCCTGGTTTTGAGAGGTTGTAATGTTTGCATCTCTTCCTTACACCAGGGGTGGACTTGGTCCCCATCAAGCCCATTCCCAATGTGGTGACACTGCAGGAGGACATCACCACTGACAAGTGCCGCCAGGTACAAACCTGTCTCCTCTCCCCTGAGCGTCACGCACTGGTCTGGTAGAACCGTGGCAGGGGGCTGAGCTGAGCTAATGTGAGTTGGGGGGTGCTGCCCATTGATTCTTGTAGAGGGGTTAGTGGGACAAATGCCTGTCCCCATTCCTCAGGCCCTGCGCAAGGAGCTGCAGACGTGGAAGGTGGACGTGGTGCTGAATGATGGAGCTCCCAACGTGGGAGCCAGCTGGGTGCATGATGCCTACTCACAAGGTGGGGCCTGCCCGGGGCTGGCGTGCGGTCTGGGGGGTGTACGTGGGCAGGCACATCTCATACCCCAGCAGGGCAGGGTGGCAGTGGTCTGCACTGTGGGACGGGGAGCTGGGCACTGGGCATGGTGACAACTGCTGACTGCTCCTCTCCCCTGCTCCAGCCAACTTGACCCTCATGGCCCTGAAACTGGCCTGCGAGTTCCTCTGCAAAGGCGGCTGGTTCATCACCAAGGTTTTTCGGTCCCGGGACTACCAGCCGCTTCTCTGGATCTTCCAGCAGTTCTTCCACAAGGTCCAGGCCACCAAGCCCCAAGCTTCCCGCAACGAGTCCGCTGAGATTTTTGTGGTGTGCCAGGGTGAGCAGCCGGGGAGACCTACAGCCACTGGGATGGGGCTGGGAAGAACCTGCTGATGCCTCCGATTCCTTTGTCACAGGTTATCAGGCTCCGGACAAAATTGACAGCAAGTTCTTTGATCCAAAATACGCCTTCAAGGAGGTGGAGATTCAGACTAAGTCTGTTAGCGAGTTGGTCAGCAAAAAGAAGCCAAAGGTATGAGCTTGCTTTGCTGGACAGCAAGGCCAAGTACACACTAAAGGGGCTGGGGACTGGGGCCAAAGAGATTGTAATAAGCAAAGTTGCTCAGGAAAATGAAAGGTCTGGGGATGAGAAGTGGTGGAAGAGCCAATTTTGGGGACGTTTACAGCCTTAGAAGGTGGTGTAGTGAGGGGGAAACAGTGAGCAAGTTGTGAGGCTGGGGATGGATCAGTAAAACCCTCCCTGCAGCGGTTGGCTGCATGGTTTGTGTCTCTGTGGAGCATCTTTAGGACACAGGACAGTAAAGGCTACGTCAAGTGGTCTCAACCGGTCACGGAGCTGACACAAACCTCTGTTTCTGTCACCTCTCTGAGTCTGAGGTGGGACTGGGAGTCGCTGTGGCAGGTTGGGGCTGGTAACTTGCCCTCGCCCCTAAGTCACGTGGGCATGTTCAGGTGGACACTGCAGCAAGACATGAGTTATGTGACATCATTCACCCTTTAGGGATGGTTGAAGTTGCCTGTATGTGCCCTGCTACGGCTTATACAGCTCCTTCCTCCTGTAGGCAGAAGGCTATGCAGATGGTGACACAACCCTCTACCACCGCTTCACCCTGATGGACTTCCTCAAGGCTCCCAACCCCGTGGACTTCCTTTCCAAGGCCAATGAGGTGAGTGCCTGAACTGAGGGGGACCTTGGTGGCCCCTGAGATGTCCCTGGGAGCATGGAGCGATAAGAAGAGAGAGCCAGGTGCCCCAGAAATGGCCCCATTCCTGTTATTGTGCAGGGGAGGCAGGGCAGGAGGTAGGGATCAGGTGTGACAGCCCTTTCCCTCTGGTCTGCCCAGATCACACTGGGGGACGGTGAGCTGGAGAATCACAGCTCCACCACAGAGGAGCTGCGTCAGTGCTGCAAGGACATCCGCGTGCTGGGACGCAAAGAGCTCAGGTACTGGGGGACTCTGGGACAGGGCATTATTCTGGGTAAAGCTGAAAGAGCAGGCAAAGGAGCTGGATATCAAGTAAGAACAACAGAGCTGCCCCAGAGTGCCAATGCAGTGGGATGGGCCTGCCACTGGGAGAGATGGTCTGAGCTCCTTCCTTTTGGCAGCCTGAGCTCCGGTGAAGAGGAGGAAGGCAAAGAGGAGGAGAAGAAGGAGAAAAAGACGTCGTCAAGAGCCACAGCTGATGAGGTGGTGAAAGAGGAAGAGGAGGAGGTAGAGCTGGCGTTGGCAGAGATGAAGGCCAAGGAGCTGGCAGAGTTAAAGAGGTAAAAAGAGCTTGGATGAGGAAAGAAAGGGGAGTACCAGGCCAGCAGAACACAGGGGGAGCTCTAGACACAGGGACAGAGGGTGGCAGGTGGGATTTGTGCATCTGGGGTCCTTGGGGTCGTCTGCTCCTCTGGGCAGGTGAAGCGGCTGTTCCAAGCTGGCCTGGGCCCCCTTTGCCCCAGGACTGGGGACCTGGGGACCCCTCAGAGGGATGGCAGCGCTGCTGGGTCCCCATCCTGGGGAAGATCTGACATCAGTGTGGCAGTGGATGAGCCACTGGGATGTGCATGTGCGGGGAGGGAGGCAGCATGGCCTCATTCCTTTGTCTCTTTTTTTTTTTTTTTTTTTTTTTTTTTTTTTTAGAAAGAAGAAGAAGATCCTGAAGGAGCAGCGGAAGCAGCGTGAGCGTGTAGAGCTGAAGATGGACCTCCCTGGTGTCTCAATCGCCGATGATGGTGACACCAGCATGTTCTCCCTCCGGACTATCCACAGGACCCCGGTGTGTGGGGCGGGGGGAGGCCTGGCTCCCAGAGCCATTGGACTGGGACAGTGGCGGGCCCACAGCTGATGCACTGTAGCTTGTGACTCCAGTCTCACTGGACTTGCGTTGCAGCTGCTGAACGAGCTGACCCGCGGGGACATGGCGTCGGCAGATGCCCTCCTGGAGATGGGACCAGGGGACGATGACATTTGTGTCTCGGATCACGAGGAAGAGGATGATGTGTCCCTGGCCAGCGATCTGGACCCGGAGGAGCTGGTTGAGATAGAGGCCCGTCAGCGCCGGCTGGAGCGGGAAAGGCGAGAGCAGGGTGCAAAGAGGTGAGAGCTGGGAGAGGCCTCCCTGGGGCCGGGGCTTCCTTTGGAGCAGCTACGGAGTCCAGCAGTGGGCACACCCTATCCTGGCTGGGGAGCACTGATCCTGCTGCTGTTTGTCACAGGGTAAAGTTTAAGAAGAAGGAAGAAGAGGAGGAAGGGGAAGAAGAGGAGAATCCCCTGCTGGTGCCCCTGGAAGAGAAGTCGGTGCTGGAGGAACGGCAGACCAGCCTGTGGTTTGGGAAGGTGAGTCCTACTGGGCCAGAAATGACAGAGCAGCCTCGGCCCCAGCAGCCCCCCAGGTCTGCCCTGTGTCTCCTGAGCTGCTGCTCCCCATCCCCAGGACGCCTTTGCTGGCATCGAGGACGATGCGGATGAGGACCTGGAGCTGGGGCAGTCACAGATGTTGGCTGAGAGACAGCGCGAGTCTCAGAGAGGTGAGTGGGGGGCTGCGTCGCTAGCAGGGGGCACGGAGGGACAGCCCCACGGCCCAGTGTGGGGCACTGGATCCAAACCATGATGTGGACGCCGTTCTGAGCAGGAGCGGAGATTTCCAGAGATTGCTTTCAGCCCGTATCATTACGCAGTTAATGAGTTGGTGTTAGCATAGCATTAATGAGCTGGTCTCTAGAATGATAGTAGTCTACAACTACCTGAAAGGAGGCTGTACAAGGTGGGGGTTGGCCTCTTCTCCCTGGTAATGGGCAGTAGGGCGAGGGGAAATGGCCTCAAGTTGTGCCAGGGCAGGTTTAGGTTGGACATTGGGAAAAATTTCTTCTTCAAAAGGGCTGTCAGGCACTGGAAGGGGCTGCCCAGGGAAGGGGTCGAGTCCCCATCCCTGGAGGGATTTGAAAGCCAGGCAGATGAGGTGCTTAGGGCCAGGGTTTAGTGGTGGGATAGCAGGGTTAGGGGAACGGTTGGGCTTGATCATCTTAAAGGGCTTTTCCAGCGTAAATGATTCTGTGATTCTATGATCTGCAGTGGGGTCTGCCTCAACCCTTTCTCACCCAGTGGTTCCTGTTCCCCAGACAAAACAACAAGGAAAGGGGAGAAGAAGGTGGTACCCCAGGAGGAAGCTCCAGCTGAGACCCCGCCTGCCACAGACGCAGGACCCGATGCTGGCAAAGCGCAGGATGAGGAGAGCAGTGATGATGACAGCAGCAGTGACGAGGAGAGGTGAGGGCTGAGAGGGGAGCGGTCTGGGTGTTCTCCCCCAGCTCCACAGCCCTGGAGAGCAGGGAGTTGAGACCCCAGCTCTGACCACTTTCCTCTGTGCAGGCCACTGGCCCCTGTGGGGAGGAAGCAGGGCCGTGTCGAGCCGTGTGGCTTCGAGGTGGTGCCCATTGAGAACCCAGGTGAGTGGGGGGTGCTGTCTGGACCCACACGCACCCGGTGACACCATGTGAGTCCCTCTTTAGGGACAAGAGGCAGGGTCAGACTATGCTTTTCTGGGCTGGCAGGGCTGCTTGCTGCTCCCTGGGTCTCAGGCTGCTTGCAGATAGGCCAAGCTTTAATCTGTCCATATGCTGCAGTGAAAAGAGCTCGTGTCCTGGATGCAGAGGGCCTGGCACTCGGCTCCGTCATTGCCACCTCCAAAAAGGCCAGGCGGGACCTGATTGATGACTCCTTCAACAGGTACTTGCAGCTGCGGTAGCTGGAGGGGGAGCAGTGTTCGGTTTCCCAACAGGAGATAGGCCATGGGGATGGCAGATGTATTGGTGTGGGGACCCCATTTCCCACTCATAACTCAACTGAAACCCCTCCCCGCCCCCAGGTATTCCTTCAATGAGGATGAGGGAGAGCTGCCGGAGTGGTTCACAGAGGAGGAGAAGCAGCACCGGCGCAAGCAGATACCCGTGGACCGACAGACAGTTGAAGCATATCGGCAGCGCTGGCGGGAAATCAACGCCC